AATCACACACCGCTGCCACTGGTAGAGGTTCAGAAGGATCTAGGTGTGTGGATAACATCTTCACTAAAGCCATCATTCCACTGCTTGAAAGCAGCGAAATCCGCAATGTCCAGCTTATATCTCATCAAGCGTGCATTTGCGAAGTTCGACGAAGAGTGCTTTCGAGAGGTCTTCAGGATGTTTGTGCGCCCACAGTTAGAATTTGCCATTCAGGTCTGGATACCCTGATCTGTCAAAGATCTTACCACCCTCGAAAAAGTCCAACGACGACCAACCAAGCTGGTCAAAGGTCATTAAATCCTACCTTACGAAATTAGACTGTCCAATCTTGACCTTTTTCCCTGGAATACAGACAACTACGCGGCGAATTAATTCAAACGTTTCGAATGCTGCGGGGTCAGGATTGCTTCCTCATATCCGACGACTTCTTTGAGCCGGCCACCACTACTACCTTGAGAGGACATCCTCTCAAACTACGTGTGACAGGAGCAAGACTGGACTCAAGGAGGTCCTTCTTCAGCGACAGAGTGATAAAGGCATGGAACGCTCTGCCTGTGGATGTCGTCATGTTCTCATCCGTGGGCAAATTTACGAGAAAGCTTGACCAGTACAGGGATATGTACCACCACGGCATCAGAAACTAACAAATTTCCCACCTGTACGGCCCCCCGAAGCCTAAACGTTTGTTTCGACATTACTTGGTCCATTCACTACCGCGTACAGGTTATTGTATAATTTTTACACAGAATGCATTCACAGACAAATTTATACCAGCAATCAACGCTTGTTGTATGTAATTACTTACCTTATTTTCTGTGACACTTGCCTTGTGCATTGATTTTTTATGATGTAACCAAAAGGGAGTTCAAAGGCGCTCGCCTACCTTTCCCTTAATAAATCTGGTCTTATCTGACTCGCATCGACAGTTTTATTCCCGTTCAGCGCTGTTGCTTGACTTGGCATGGTGTGCGCTTGTGTAAGAGGGAATAGCCTGGTCATATTTTAATGCAGTGGACTTTCGATTGTCCAAATGAAATAGAAAAAGCCTACAGAATGGACAGAGAGAGCGACTTTAACAATTTGGCTGTTTGCCAACTGTGGCTGCTATCTTTTTGCCTGACAGGTGGATAAATGGTCTCTTGAGGTAGGTGTGTACAGGTCACGGGGAAGGAGCATGCAGACGGCCGGAAGCCATCAGTGTTGAGGGTAATGGTCTTTTTCGGTAGGACGCGGGAATACGTACCACCCCGCGTAATATAAGTCCAGGCCTTGAGCTACTAGTGGCATTGTTTTCAACGTTACACGTCCCTACTTATAAATGGGTTAGGACCAAGCTCCAGTTGATGCAGTAATGAATTACAGCCTTCAGAATTTCAAACTTTGTGCTTCCGCACAATTTCCAAGTCCACCTAGAAAGTTCCGTTGGGAAAACATACTTATCACTGTTGGTAGAGGCGAAGAAGTGAGTTCCAGAAAGCAGTCGTGAAGAAGGATGCACGGTCTCTAAAACAAGGGCTTTATTAGTCAGATGTGGCGGACTCACACCCGAACCCATCATCAGACACGGACGCACGTGCAATAGGATGTTCTTTTCTCATTTTGTTTCTAGTGGTGGAGCCCAGTGTAAATCCGAAACTCCAGGCTAATAAAGCTCCTGTTCCAGTAATCAGGCATTTCCTTCTTGGACGACTTGACGTGGTTGCTCGTGTTCTTGCTGGATTGTCTCATGCAATTGTCCTTTGTAGTACCATATTTAGTGTTCTCTCTGGGCTTGAAGGTCTCCATATTTATTACAATCCTGCATAAACACACTGAAAATGACTCAAATACTCAAATACACAGAGCTGTTCTCTTTACTGGTTTTTGGCTTTCAGACGGATGCTGATGGATTCTTCAACATCCCCCAGTTCAGAACGAAAGCAGACAAGCGAATTATTAGCTGCCAGGCTAGTTGGACGGCCCGGGAGGAAGGACAATTCCAGAGTTAGGAGAAGTGCGATTTCCCGGCCAACCAGCTTCGTTAGGGCATCCACCCCTACCACCAGTGCTTACTGATGCGCAGTGAGTTTTAAGGGCGCGGAACAGCACCATTCTACTTAACTTGAACAAATAACGTGAACCCCGTTGCAAGAAACAGATATGCTTCTGGCCAAACGCCTTCCATCTCTAGCTGGTCCTTATCCTGTTTTTTCTATAGCTCCGATAACGTATCTCAAAACGGAACTGCAAAACTGAGAGATCTTCTCCTGTGCTCGACCCCTCTTCGCTTCCGCTCTGACCGTTGGATCACCTTCTGCATCCTCTGCCCGAGCAACTTTACCGACAAAAACCAAGACACCGAAATAGCAACTCCCACCTCACCAGCGACTGAGTACCACGGCCAGCCCAGGTCTCCGATCACTCACGGTTTAACTCTGAGTAGTTTGATCCGCGAGCGTGGCTCACGCCACCGCCTCCCAGGGGCGTATGTCATGTCGACAGGGTTAAGGGGTATCCAGTTAGACGTGAGTGGCATTCATGCAAAATAGACCACTGCACTCCTCTCTTGTGTTATTGTAGTAATCTATTTTAAGGTTTTGTTTTCGGGTTTTTGCACCCCTCATTTTGTCTCCTTTGATCTTGCTCTGGTAGACTGCATCAACTTCAAAACAGCAGGCTGTCAAGCGGCCTATCTTTTGATTCCTTATTGCAGGCAACATTTTGGCACTGAACAATGCATGGGGCAGCGACAAAAGGCCACGAAGTTATGATGCGCCCCTCCCCTCTCCCTCCTCCACAGCATTGAAAACGCGTGGCAGATTGAAACTTGTAAAGGCAGAATACGAATCAGCTCTGACCAACAAGCAAATGGCGTACTGATATTTCTTCCGAACTCATTGAACAAACATTGAGTAGGGCATTTCATTCAGCCCTTCAGCTGCGGTCCCTAGTTTTTTTGCATTCGCTTGCACTGAACCTCATCGACACTATCCAGTCTCCTGGCGATGTGTAGGCATGCCCAGTATCACACTACGGTAGAACTAACATCAGAGGACTGGTAACGAGGGGAATTGTCTTTTCTGCACAACGGTATCGTCCATAAGTCGTGTTGCCCTCCGAGGATATCGAGGTAATGGCCACATTTGCGCACTCAGTACCAAGTCTAGCGGATCCAAGCCACCGACAATTGAATGTTGCCATTATCGGCCAGAAAGTTAGTCGAAAAGGAGCCTTTAAAATTCTCGACACAGGCTGAGATTCCTGAGAGAACCTCCTCACGGACTAACTTGGACGTGTCAGTTGGTCCATGCATAACTCGGATGACAGCAGGCGTCTTAGCCTGTCTTCGGGTTAACAAAGACTTCGTCTTGAACTACTGCTTCTGCTGCCGCTGGAAATGACGGACACCAGAGCAAAGTCCCTATTCTACAGGCAAACATGGTCAACAATCCCAAATTGTCTCGATCATGGCTAGCAATTACTTAGCGATATCCGAGCACGACACGGGCTCGATAGTGATCCTTCACGTCGACCTCACCAAGCGCTCGCAGGTTGCTCCCGACCAATTCTCTAATTCTCAGTCATATTGGATCGGACGTCAGGGGATCAGTCCTTGCAGGGCCTACCATACACTTACACATTCAAACACCAGCACTGCAGTAGAACTGCCATAATCTTCCAGTACGATGCACATTAATGAGAGAGACTTTGGGCTTACACTAGAAGTAATGTCGTTATGTTTGCCAGTCAGTTTGGGGACTTTTTCGTAGGACGACGGATACTCGTCTAATATGTTGAATACAGATGTACCCTACCACCCCAGAGGTTTTCTGGGGTAACATTTTGCACACAGCATCGAAGGATTAAACGTGTCAATTGGATTTATTGATAGACTCTCAACACTAACCCTCCAGATTCTGTGGTTGCAGGTCCTTCTCCTTGCCCTTTCTGATGAAGTCAAATTTCCGGTATGCTATTCTTCAGCCCGCGCACGCATCAATCATATCAGTCAGCCTACTGACTCCGGTGGTGCCTGGTTTCCTCAGCCTAGGCAGACCTTAAACCGAATCGATTTATCTGCATGAACACTATCAACGAATTTTGGCTTTTGATAATTCTGCAGCGGGGTGAACTTATTCGTTTTCCTTATTGTCCACGGTGAGAAAGTCTGTTTACTAGGATATAAGAGTCCAGTTGGTATGTCGTACCGTGGAAACCTCATGTTCTGTCGGTAGACCCTCGTGATCCCATGTTCTAGTTGTGATGCCGTTTATTGTGGCCAAACTGGGAAATCTGTCTCAACCCGTATACATGAGCATCAGTTAGCGGTGAAGAGACGCGACCATCTATCCCAGGTAGCCATGCACACGCTGGACACTGGGCATAAATTCGCATGTGAAAACACTCGCATTGTTGGCGCCTGCCAAACTTGGAAAGGCCGCGAATTCCTGGAGGCAATGCATTCAGAGGAGGCATGCATCAACCGGCATATCGATTTAGATGCCACATACAAAATCGTTAAGGACAGATTCAAACTGAGTCAACCAATCCCGAGATAAAGACCTTAACCAATCATGAAATCCTTTTGCCAGACTCAGTCTAAAAGTTACTTGTTTTTGCACACCCGTTGTCTGAAGACGAGCTGGGGGACCAGTCTCGAAAATTCACAATAAAATTTTACTGTTGCCCAAAGAACCTCACTTTTCTAATTATATTTCTTGGGATGTCAGTTTTTCAATATTGAGCTCTCTCTATCTTGGAGTACATAAGCCATCGGTTGCAAAAGCACATGGTATTTCACTTTCTGCTAACGCCTACATCTTTCTAAACCCCCCGTTTGACGGCATCTCGGCCTATTGGTTTTTCACATGAAATGTCCACTTCGGTATGGTGTGGGAGCCTTAACTGCATGCGAATACGTGCTAACCAATGTCCTTTATTATACAAAAGTATAGCTTTTTCACGTACTCTGTTAAGAATAAGTCAACTACCAGGTAGTTACGTTTATTTTTCACGGTCAATCACTCCTCTCCAAATGAAACTATGGGAGGATCCACCTCTACAAAATCAAGGAGGGACCGACGTTCATATAAGTATGGTTGCATATTCGGGCATATTTCCGGTGGGATGCCCTTGCCCGTTTTAATCAAGTGACCCCGGGTTAGGGAGGGGAAAACGAGATTCCAAAAATTGCACTTTTCCCTACGATAATGAGCCTGGACCATCCGTTTAAGCCCGATTTCCATGTATTTGCCCGATTCCACGTCATACTCCGGCCAGTCAGGACTCATTCTGCTTCCATCTTCATTCTGTGTCGGGTTTCTGAAAGTAGCAAAGGTGCATTTGTTAGATTGCCTTCCCAAAAAATTTCCCCAAGTCTTCGCCTCGTACTTGGAAACTCACCCAGTTCGCGCAAAGTTGGTCCAATACCTCATGACGACTTCACTCAGTCCTGCCTCCTCTTTAGTGTAGTCGTGGAAATTCCTCTTAAATGTCTGCAAAAACGGCATACCAAACACGTAATCTACTTCCTGACCGTGCATAGCACCAGTCCAATCAGGAAAGCCGTTATTTTGAGTTTTGTGTACGAAATTGTAGACATAAACAATCGCATTGGGCAACTGGGCAACGCGTTGGGCAAATTGTAGTGTTCCGCAGGTCACTTCGATGTCGCCGACAAGAGCATCCATCTGACCCATGAAGCCGGTCGCATCCTCCACGACAAAGTCCCGCAATCCGGTGTCGTAACCCGTAACTTCACGAAGACCGGGACTCGTGAATCCATACACGGTGCTCATGACGGTTGTGAATGGGTGTTCGAGATTTTGTTCACTTGTAAAATTTGATGTCAGCATGCGATAGATGTCAAAGTTTGCTTCTTGAAATGTCTCCTCAT